TTGATTTTTGCGTGTTGACCTTATATCTAGCTACTTTACTGAATTTGGTTATTAAGTCTAGAAAACTTTTGGTGGAGTTCTTGGGGTCTTCTATATACAGTATCATGTCATCTGCAAATAATGACAATTTGACTTCTTCATTTCCTATGTTTCTGTAGGGATTTTATCATAAATATGTGTTGGATTTTGTCAAATGCTTTTTCTGCATCTATTGAGATGATCACATGTTTTTTGTCCTTGGCTCAATTAATACAGTGTATTACATTGATTGATTTATGTATGTTGAACCATCCCTGCATCCCTGGGATGAATCCCACTTGGTCAGGGTATATGATCTTCTTGATGATGTTCTGCATTCTATTTGCCAGAATCTTATTAAGGATTTTTGCATCTATGTTCATTAGAGAGATTGACCTATAGTTCTCTTTTTCGGTTGGGTCTTTCTCTGCTTTGGGAATCAAGGTGATGCTTGCTTGCAGGAATGAATTTGAAAGTATTGCTTCCCTTTCAATTTCATTGAAGAGTTTAAACAGTAATGGCAGTAGTCTTTCTCTAAATTTCTTGTAGAATTCAGCAGTGAAGCCATCAGCACCCAGGCTTTTCTTAGTTGGTAAGTTTTTAATTACATTTTCAATTTCATTGATTGATATTGGTTCATTTAGAATTTTTAGGTCTTCTTTGTTCAACTTTGGTAATTCATATGTATCTAGGAATCTGTCCCTTCTGTATTTTCAATCTTATTGGCATATAGGTTCTCGAAGAAGGTATTGATGATCCTCTGGATTTCTGCTGAATCCATTATAATTTCACCCTTTTTATTCCTAATTGCATGGATTTGGTCCTTTTCTTTCCTCTTTTTGATAAGGTTGGCTAAGGGTTTGTGAATTTTGTTTATTCTTTCAAAAAACCAACTCTTGGCTTCATTGATTTTTTTGTATCATTGTCTTAGTCTCCACTGCATTGATTTCTTCTCTGATCTTTATAATTTTCTCCCTTGTGTGAGTTTTGGGTTTGTCCTGCTCTTTCTCTAGAAGATTAAGGTTCAGCATCAGGTTGTTTATTTGGGCTTGCCTTCTTTTCCTCATGTGAGTTTTCACTGCTATGAATTTCCCTCGTAAGACTGCTTTCATTGTGTCCCATAGATTCTGATATGTTATATTGTCATTGTCATTTAATTGAAGGAACTGTCTGATTTGTTCTTTAATTTCCTCTGTGACCCATTGATTATTCAGAAGTGTGTTGTTCAATTTCCATGTGTTTATGAAATTATTGTGTTTTCTTCTACTATTGATCTCCAATTTCATGGCACTATGATCTGATCATATAGAGGAGATAACTTCAATTCCTTTGCACTTACTTAAACATGTTCTATAAGAGAGTATGTGGTCTATTTTGGAGAATGACCCATGTGCAGCTGAAAAGAATGTATATTCTGATTTTGTGGGGCGGAACACTCTGTGAACATTTGTTAACTTCGTTTTTTCAGAGTTTGATTGAGTTCTAGTATTTCGTTGCTTGTTTTTTTGTCAAGTTGATCTATCTATTTGTGACAGTGGGGTATTGAGGTGCCCCACTACTGTTGTATTAGTGCTTATTTCATTTTCCATGTCCATTAGTATTTGTTTTATATAGTTGAGCACACTAGTGTTTGGCATAGATATTTATGATTGTCATGTCTTCCTCTTGAATTGTTCCCTTTACAAGGATGTAGTGTCCTTCTTTGTCTCTCTTAGTGTTGGTTTGAAATCCACTTCATCTGCAAAGAGGATAACTACTCCTGCCATTTTTCAGGTTCCTATCACATGGAGCATTGTTTTCTACCCTTTAACTTTCAGTCTATGAGTTTCTTTTTTAATTAAGTGTGTTTCTTGTATGCAGCATATTGCTGGATCTTGCTTCTTGACCCATTCTGCCAGTCTCTTTCTTTTGATTGAAGTGAGATCATTAACTTTGATGATTATAACTGATATGTATTGACTTATCCTTGTAATAACCTTTTCTTTTTGTTGGATTCTCCCCTTTGTGTTTTATTTCTTGTTGTGCCTAATGGATTCATTCTGCTGGGCTTCCTGGGGTTGTGATCCTCATTGTCTTTTCCTAGGATATTGTCTAAAATTTTTTGGAGTGCTGGTTTGGTATTCATGAAGTTCCTCAGGTGCTCTTTGTCATGAAAGTATCTTAATTCTCCATCAATTTTGAAAGATAATTTTGCAGGGTACATCAATCTGGGTTGGAGGTTGTTTTCTCTTAGGGCTTGAAATACATCACTCCAAGCTCTTCTAGCCTTGAGGGTTTGTGCTGAGAAGTCTGCTGTGATTCTGATGGGATTTCCTTTGTATGTGATTTGTTTCTTTTCTCTAACTGCTTGTAGAATTTTGTTCTTCTGTTTGGTTTCTGAAATCTTAACTATTATATGACTATGTGTAGATTTTTTTTTTTTTATCATGGCTAGTTGGAGTCCTGTATGCCTCACTTACTGTATCAAGTTCTTTTTCCCTACTTGGGAAGTTTTCTGCCATTAGTTTTGTGAACAGTGTTTTTCTTATGTCATCTGCACTCTCTCCTGTTTCTTCATTGAATCCGATCAGTCTCATGGTCCCTTACTATTTTTGAGAAACTTTTCTTTTCCTGGTCACTAATTGCAATCCTATCTTCCATATCTGAAATTCTATCCTCACACTTGTTCATTTTGCTGTGTAAACTTTCAGTGGAGATTAAAAATTGGAAATCTGTTTGCATCTGTTTTATGGATTCCATTTTTTTCCTATGTTGGGATTCCATCATGTTCCTTGGCTCCTCTATATTTTTTTTAATCTGTGTCTGCTCTAGATTTATTAATCATGTCTTGCACTATGGGCACAGTCTCCACTGTTATCTTAGAAATTATTTCTGGTTTCATTTTTTCAGATCCTCTTTCATTGCCAGTTCAGGGAGTCCAGGTGGTTGAGTATCAGATTATTCCATCTTGTTTCCCTTTGGGGTTGCCTTAGGTGATCTGGAAGTCTGGTTTTGAGATTTATTTACGTGTCTTCTTATTTCAACAGATGCAGCCTCCTGTGCCATTGTTGGGGCAACTTTTTGTTCACCCAGTGGCCTTCAATTCTCAGGAAGCCACTGAGCAACCTTTTCTCTGCTACTCACCAGTGTACCAATTCCTGAGTTCAGAATGGTTGCCTTCTGGATCCCTTAGCTGACCTGCTGTCTGGGTGGGTTTCTCGTTGGGGCCTGTGCACACTTGGGATGGTATCTAGGGTGGCTTGGGCCCCCTCTATGTAGCTTTGTCTGGGAAGGCCTTTTGCTGGGAGCTGTCTCCCACCCCAGACCCTGCTGTCTGAGCAGTCGTCTGGATAGGGTCTCCACGCACTTACTGATGGTATGGGGTGGGTCTCTGGCTGATGCTTGTGTGCCTGTGCAGCTCTTTTATGGGCCACCCTTTGTCTTGGTCTTGTGTGCCCAAGCCACTGGTGTCTGGGCGGGGCCCTGGCTGGGATCTGCCTGCAGCCTCGCAGGTCTGGTCCACACCGCTGCTGGCCAGGATCTGCGAGCACTTACTGATGGTATCTCCTTTTTATTTTCTTATGTAGTTACTATATCTCGTGTTCCTCATTCTTATTTATAACAAATCTGGTAGCATTTTCCTTCTGCCTGAAGTGCTTCCTTTAACATTTCATGTAGTGCAGGTCTGCTGGTAATGAATTCTTTCAGCTTTTTATGTCTGAAGAAGAATTTTCCCTTCAGTTTTTAAAGATAGTTTTACTGGGTATAGAATTCTAGTCTGAGTGGTCTCCTTCCCTCCTCCTAAAAGATATTCTTTTAGCTTATATTGCTTCTCATGAGAAATGAAGTCTGCTGTCAACTTTATCTTGTTCCTCTGTATGGGATATATTTTCTCCCTTTTAACATTTTCACTTTATTTCTGATTTTAAGAAATTTGGTTATGAAGTGCCTTGGTATCATTTTCTTCATGTTCCCTATGTTTGAGGTTCAGCAGGCATCTTTGGGGTCTGAATTTATAATTTTCATTGTGTTCTATATTCATTATATGTCTTCAAATATTTTTCTGTCCCTAACCCCTCAACTTTCAGAGATTCTAATTACATCTGTATTTCATCATTCGAACTTGTCCCATAGTTCACTAATTCTCTGTTTTATGTTCAATTTTTCTTCTTGGTTTCATTTTGTACAATTTATTTTGCTATGTATTCAAATTTTCAAATTTACTTTTCTGTGCGGTCTAATACCTACCACGTATTTTTTCCCTTTTGAGAGACTTTTTCTTCTGAGTTTTACTTGAAATATAAGTAACACTAAGTCATGGTTAATTTATCCAAGATACTTGATGAACACCTAATGCTTTAAAAATCCTGAGGCTCTTTGTGGATTTCTGACTGCCAAATGACACCAAACATCTTCTTTGTGTGAAGCTAGAGTCCAGGTCCTCCAGCTACTGTGAAGAAGAGCAAACAGAGGAAGTGTCCTCAATTTCTTGTTACAGAAGAAGTTGCATTTCACCATGAAGAGAAATACAGTGATTAAACTCTTTAAAGTCATTGGAGATCTCTTATCTGAAATGAGTTTTGACTATCCTACATGGAGAAACTTCAATAAAATTCATTTAAATGAATGAATTCGCTTAAATGAACAGACTTTTTTAAAAAATTAATTTTATTGGTACATTTTATTGGTACATTTTAGGTATACAATTCATTTACATTTATCATTGTTTGTACCTGTACATGATATATCTTGGTTCTTATTTTTTTCCCCATTACATGTGTGCCTTTCACCCCCTCTGCCCTTACCTATTATCATAGACTTCATTTCCATTTTTTTTTCTTTTCTCATAGTTTTTCCTTTCCCTCTTTTCCTTTCTCCTTCCCCTCCCTTCACTCCTTTCTCTGTGGACCTTTTTTCCTATTTCAAATTATCGATTATTCATTTTAACCCTTGTTTACACTATCAGTTTCTCACACTAGTGAAACTATTCGGTATTTACACATGTGTGTCCTATTTATTTCACTTAAGAGTATGGCCTCAATATGCATCCATTTAGCTATAAATGACTCTAGTTTTTTGTTCTTTATGGCTGAGTAGTACTCCATTTTATAAAAAACCCCACATTTTATAATGAGCATGTCTAGAATTGTTTCTGGATCTTCTAATCTATTCCACTGATCCTCAGGTCTAATGAACAGACTTTCAATGGAACTTTATTTGAGAGAGAGAGAGAGAAAGAGAGAGAAGGCGCTGATTTTCTTGCCTGTGTCCTGCATGGTAAAAGGGAGGGAGCTAGCAGGAAAGAGCTGTGAAAGTATTCTGGCATAGTTTTGTCCAGCTTGGTGCCTGATTACCTAAGAAGAGCACACGGTTGGCGACTTCCAAGCCCTTTGTAATACAGGTGGTGCGAGAGTGACTACAAGAGCTACACCCAGAATGAAAAATTTAAAAGCTCCACCTGAAATATCTCAAGGCAGAAGCAATGAGCCTCTGTGTTAGTAAAACTTGCAGAAGCACTGAAAGTTCATCCCTTCCTGGAGCCTTGCTGGAGGCCACAGCAAAGAACAGCTGTACTAGCTCTGGCCCTATCAAAAGGGCATCTGGAGGTCCTTGGAATGGGAGGAAAGGGGAAGTATTCTTGTTATATAAGATATCTGGGGATGCAATGCTGTCCTAGAAACATAGGGTATTAGACTAAAATGTTTCTATAGCAGATCTAATTCAAACTTCTCCATTTACAGAGAAATAAAGGGCATTTCCCAAGGTTAAATAGAGTTAACAACAGGTAAGAAATGAGAATTTGGGTCTATTGTACCCTTGAAAGAACTGCTTTCTGATTAATGGATAGCGGTATCTTGCCTTCAAAGACTAATCCCAGTGTTTAGGGCAGGAAGATCTCCTAGATAACTTAGAGAGACTCTGTCTCAAAGTAAAAAAAATATGAAAAGGGCTGGGGATATAGCTCAGTGGTAGATCACCCTTGGTTCAGTCCCCAGTACTGCAAAGAAAAACAAAACGACCCATAGCAGCAAAAGCAACTGTACATATGCATTTCACCCTTTTCCTGTCTTCACAGATAACATTTGACAACAAGGCTCACAGTGGAAGAATTAAAATAAGTTTAGATAATGATATTTCCATTAGAGAATGTAAGGACTGGCATGTATCTGGATCAAGTAAGTGGCAAGCTTTACTTTCACAATGGTTATTAAATAATGTAAAATGGTCATTAAATTACTGCCTCCAGGGCATACAGAATACCAGCTAAAACATTCCCAAGTCCCCAGTTCTCCGCAAGTGTATCAGTGTATTGCAGACATTTGATGTACCAGAAAGTACCTAAGTTGTTAGAATTGAAATGATTCTGGGTTTTCCATGCATCTTCACTTGCCTACTCCTCACCAATAACATACTTACAGTCCCCCACCAAAGCCCTATATGTACCCAAACCAATATTTATTGAGAATATGCTACATAAATACTTCCATCTCCATTTTCCTCATTTTAATATTTTAAAATATCTTTGAGAGTCAGGCACAGTGGCCCATGCCTGTAATTTCACCACTCTGGGAGGAGGCAGGAGGATCTCATGTGTAAGCCAAACCTATACAACTTATCCACTCAAAAAGACCCTGTCTCAAGTTTGTTTTAAAAAAAGGGCAGGGGATGTAGCTCAGTGCAGAGGCTCTGGATTCAATCACTAGTACTAGGGAAAAAAAGTCCTTGAGGGAGAAAATCCTTGAGAGAGGCAGAATCCTTATTTTTACAGATCAAGAAACCAATGCTTAGATGTCATGCCTGGTGTCCATGGTCAGACAGCTGGGGAAAAGTCAGGTAGAATTTGACCTTGAAGCCTCCCACTCATTATAATGGTCTTCCATTCAGGTTAAAAAGTAGACTAAATATGAAAAGCTCTATTTTTAGAAATATGGACAAGAATTCAGGTGTAGACTGAGTGCTTTCAAGAATTTTGGAACTGAACAGGAGAAAATTTGCTGGAAAGAATGTATCTGTCTCATTTTCTAGCTCCTTTGAAGTAACATAATGGTGTGTTGTGCAGGCCTCAATCCATAGGTCAGGGGATCTTGCATTCTAATGGGAAAAGGAATCAGCTCAGAACCCAATAAGATACAGTTTTCTTGGCTCCCCAGACAGTAGTTGTGGGGTGAGGTTGAAGACCCTTGCGCAAGTGTCCAACCTGTAGCCCTCTGTGGTAAAATAAAAAATATTTTTAAGAAGGAAGTTTTGTTACTTACAAACATGAACTATATTATATGTCTTCCATGTAGTCCGAAAGAATTCCTCTTCACTCAGTATGGCTCAGCCAAGTCAGGTGTTTTCTACCCAAGGGCTACGGGTTGGACATGCCCAGTAGTCCTTTCTCAGACTATTCTTGGATAATCACTGTCTTAGGTGAATTTACCATGTTCAGAAGTTATACTGAGATGACCAGCATAAATTAGATGAAATTTCAGAATTACAGTGCTTCTTTCACTAATAGGTGACTTCAAATTTATAAAGCTCTTGAATCACAAACTGTATTCCAATCACAAATTCATTTACTTGAAACACATTTTGTTATCTGAAACATCATAATGATTTTCCACAAACTTTAGAAAGTGGAAAGGAGAGCATCTGAAAGACCCTGATATATGGGCTTTCTCTCAAATGTTTGTTTCTTGGTTTAAAAGTTTTTCTAAAGTAGATTTAGACATTTGTAGAACAATTAGATGATCCACTGGCAAACCTAACAGGATGTTTCATTGTCAGAACTAGTCTTAAGTACTGTATCTTCCTCTCAAGATAGAGCAGGCTAATTTGTTAAATGGAAACCAGCTCTATACCAGAGCACATGACAGCTGAGACCTCTTTCATCTTCTCCTCATTGGTTCCAGTCCTGCTGGCCAAAGCTTTGCACTTTTGATTCTCCAGACATCTCTGTGTGGGTGATTCCTTCTGGATGTTGCAGTCTCACTTAAAACCTACTCTTCCTTTGGCGAGGCCTTCCCCAACCACACAAAGTATGTGAACCTCTTGTCTGCCGGCCTCCCACACCAACCTCCTCCTTATGCAGCATTGGTTTTCAAATGTTGGCATCACCTCAAGGGCTTGAGAAGACACAGAGCTTCCAGTGTGGGGGGTCTAGGGTAAGACCTGGGAATGTCTGCTTCTAAGAAGTTCCCTAGGGTGCCAGGAACCAGCGGTGCTGAAGACAGGATGAAAAGGTTTGAATCCTTACTGCTGGGTGTGTAACTATGGACAAATCATGCACTTCAGATTTTCCACCTGCAAAGTAGGGGTAATGATGTTATCTCATTGGGATCACATAAGTTCATGCATGTAAAGTGCTTGGAACTATGACCAGTAGGAAATGTCCTCAGTGGACCAGGGATTTAGCTCAGTGGTTCTGCTGCCTGCCTTGAAAGCTCAAGGACCCGAGTTCGATCCCCCATATCAAAAAAAAAAAAAAAAGAAAGAAAAAAGAAATGTCCTCGGTACATGTCAACTAGGATGATTTATTTTGTTATATCACTTCTGCCTGAAAATACTTTGCTCATGTACTTGCTTACTTCTCTGCTTGTCTCATTGCAGTGGGAAGTTCCATAAGCTGAGGGGCCTTATCTGTCCGTTTCCACTGTATGCCAGCATCCAGAAAAGTGCCAGGTGCATAGTGGGTGCTTAGTGAATACTTTGTGTCCAGATAGTTATATGTTAATAGACTATGCAGGAAGGCTGTGTTTAGAACAAGTGACCAGCAGCTGATATCAAATGATCTTTGGTTTTAACCTTTTGAAACATTCACTGAAAGAATGTTTATCAGGGTTTCTTTGTTATCTTTCTGTAAAGAATGCTAAAATTACCTAAATTATTCTAAGAAGAAACTAATGTCTCAATATGAATGTCTCTTCACATAATCTTCTTTGCTTGCAGTTCAGAAGAACACGCATTACATGATGATCTTTGACGCTTTTGTCATTCTGACTTGCTTGTCTTCGCTGCTCCTCTGCGTTAGATCTGTGATTAGAGGACTTCAGCTTCAGCAGGTAGTGGCTGGGGCTCTTTACCAATGCTACTGACATTCTGATCGACGGAGACGCTCACTGTGTCTCTCCTCTTTTCCCTAAAGGAATTCGTCAAGTTTTTTCTCCTCCATTATAAGAAGGAAGTTTCTGTTTCTGTTAAAATGGAATTTGTCAATGGATGGTACATTATGATTATTATTAGTGACATACTGACAGTCATTGGTTCAATTCTGAAAATGGAAATCCAAGCTAAGGTAATTTTTTTTCCTATCATCCCATCATTAGTATCAGATTCAGGTGAATGGTATTTTAGTGAGAATTTCGGAGTAAATGATTTTGCCCAAGACTTATGGTGAGTAAGCTGGACATTGAAAACAGTAATTCTCTTTACTCTAGTCAAGCAGTCTCTTAGGCAGAGGTTTTCAGAATATATTCTACAGACCACTGGATCAGAATCACTTGGGTGCCTGGCAAAAATGTGCCGTGTTAAACCCACTGGATCCATACTCTTCACATGGGGCCTGTGAATCCTTACACACACAAAGATACAAACACCAAGACAATCAAGGTAAGAGTTAAAACAAACTTTACGAGAATTGGCAAAAATCTTCAATGAAAAAAGAGGGCTGGAGGAGATAAGTGAGGCCAAGGTACTGTTTCGTGAGCGCTTCCATTTGTTTCTTCTATCCATTCAAAATGAGACCATTCCCATTTTCTTACTTTCCCATTGATAAGATCCAAGGCTATCCTTTTTTTTAAAAAGACTGACCTCGTCTAGAAATTGACCCTTCCCCTAAACAAAAGTAAAATTGAAAAACTAATATTCAAACTAATCTTACTCCATCTTCTATTTTCCTAGCCTTCATACAACTAATTATGTTTGAATCACCTGTGGAGTGGGTTGTGAGCACGGGCAGAGATTCCAAATGCAATGGCTCAGATAAGAAAGGAGCTTTTCTCTGTCTGATGTAATAGTACGGTGGGTTTTCTGGGTTGGCACCTTACTTGGCTCCACACAAGCATTCAGGGACCCCCAAGCTCCTCTCATCTTGTTTCTTTTTTTGGTACCAGAGACGGAACTTGGGACCTTGTGCTTGCGAGGCAGGCGCCGGAACCACTGAGCTAAATCCCCAGCCCTCATTTTGTTTCTTTACCATACTTTAAGAGCTCACGCTGACTGTGTGACTGACACTGGGTCACCTCCCAACAGGTTCTAGCCTATGGCCTGTGGAAAATGAAAACACCATCTCATGGAAGCTCTCCCCTGCCTTGTGGCCTCGGCTCAAAAGTGGTGGGCCTCATTTCTCTTCCCATCCCACTGGTCAAACCAAACTAGATGGAGAGCTGGGGAATGCAGCACAGGCCTGTGCCTGGGAAGGAGAGGGTGGTTTAGGTTGACCTTGAGCAGCTGCCACCATATGTGGAGAGACTATGCCATTCCACTTTAGGGATGAAAGAATGAGTTAGGGTAGACTTGCAGCAAATCTTTATTTTTACCAACCTCCACTATCATTGTCCTCAGTGAGCCCCTAGTGATGTCCAAAATCTCTCTTCATTCTTCTGTCTAGATCATTACCCTTCCTGTCTCTCAGATGATCACTTCATCCCTTATAAAACTTCTAACACTCCTCCCCATCCTCACTCTCAGCCAATGAATGACTTTACTCCCTATCTTACAAAAACAATAGGAAAAAAACCCCTCCAGAGCCTGCATTAATTCCCACTTTACTTATCCACCTTCAAGCATCAGTGTCCATTTATTATTTAATCTTGTTACTGTGAATACTTGGACCAGTATCCCAAACCTAGCCTTCTCCTCGCCTGCCAGGTGCCGCCCCCACCTGCTTACTCCAGGACATTGCTCCAGTTCTTCCTCCTTTTCTCTGCAATCATAAGTTTCCCGCTCCTTACCAGGTAGTTTCCCCTACTACCACATTTTTCTCCTCTCAAAGACAAAATCTCATCTCTTACTTCTCTCTCCAGCTACTCCCCCATTTCTCTGCTCCCCATTATACAACAAAAGGTCTCAAAAAATCATCTTATTGTTGTGGTTCTCCTCCTTCCATTCTTCCATATATTTATTCCAGTCAGGCTCCTGTGCCATCGTGCTAAGTCCAATCATCAGTCATTTATCCTTACCTTGACCTGTCAGCAGCTTTTAACGCAGCCACACACTGTTTCTGACATGCTTCTTCACTGGACTGTCACTTACCTGGTTTTCCTCCCAAATCACTGCTGATATTCACACTGTCCCTTATTGGTCCCCTCTTACCTGTGAGGTGGAAATGCTTCAAGATGTAGTGCGTGGACAGCTTCTTTTCCACCTAGGCCATGGTAGCGTCATCCTGTCTCAAATAGATGCTTTGAGTAGTATCTATTTGTCAGTGATGCCCAAATAGCTTGGAATTCTTCCCTGAACTCCAGACCCAAGTACTCAGATGTCTATTCCAGTCTGCACTTGGATGTCTGCTTGTTATCGCAAATTCAAGATAACCAGAAAAACTCCTAAAATCCCCAACTCCACAGTTCAATCCTGCTTCTCCCATAGCCTTTCCAGTTTCAGTTCATGACAACTCTTTTCAGTGGCCCAAACCAAAAACTATAGATTTATCCAAGACTCCTTTTTTCACTATCCGTGTCTCCCACATCTAATCCAAGAGGGAATCCTATTGCTCTGCCTTTAAAAAACACCTCATCACTTCCACTATGTGCAGCTGGTCCAAGCTTCCCCAGCTCTCACCTGCATCAGGACAACAGCCCCTCACTCCTTGTCTGCTCTCAACCACAGCACAAGCATTTGATCAGGTCACCTCTGTTCCCATTTGGGGCTGCTGCCTCTCTTCCTCTTCTTCCTCCTCCTTGTCCCCTTGTTCCTCCTCCTCCTCCTCTTCCTCTTCTTCCTCTCCTTCTTCTCAGTACCAAGGATTGAACCCAGGGCCTTTGCACTGAGCTACAATCCCTGCCCATTTTTATTTTGAGACAAGGCCTCACTAAATTCCTAGGTTGGCCAGGTTGGGCTTGAACTTGCAATCCTCCTGCCTCAGCCTCCCAGTGTTCTGGGATTACAGGTGTGCATTGCCATGCCTAGCTCTTTTCGGGGCTTTTTAATCTCCCAAACCTATTTTGAAGAAAAGACAAAATTGCTCACCACCCACGAGGCCCTGTGCTACCTGCCCCTGACCTTTATGTCTCCATACTATTTCTATTGCTCAATCTGGCCAGACTCACGATTTTTCCAGGCTCCTTTGTGCCCCAGAGCCTTTAGTGCCGCTGGTCCCTGTGTGTGCAATCTCGTCCTGCCCTAGATTTTTGCTTGACTTGCTTCTTCACTCCTTTCCGATCTTTGCTCATGTATCACTTTTTGTGGAGCTCTTCCCTAATTCCCCTATTTTAAAGCATAAATTCATTTCCATTCTTTATCCCCCCACCTTTTCTCCTCAGCACTTACCAGAAGCTAATTTACCAAGGGTTCTATAAATTTATTTCTCTTCTTTCTCTTTGCACCCTCAGTAGAATGCAGGCTTCATGAGGACAGATAATTTTGTTTATTCACTGATTTATTCTTACCACTTAAAATAGGGCCCAACTTACAGCTGCCCAATAAATATTTCTTGCCCAAGTGACTTTCTGCTGTTTAATCTACTTTTTTTTTTTTGGTACCGGAGATTGAACTCGGGACCTTGCACTTTCGAGGCAGGTGGTGGAACCACTGAGCTAAATCCCCAGCCCGGTTTAATCTACTTTTTCTGCTCCATTTTAGAGTCTCACGAGTTATGATGTCTGTAGCATACTTCTCGGAACATCTACCATGCTTGTGTGGCTTGGAGTCATCCGATACCTGGGTTTCTTTGAGAAGTACAATGTAAGGAGTTCCGGGGAATTCTGTGCTTTTGATATTCAGTTACTGCACTGCCAGGGATGAAGGACAAAGGGATTTTAACGACCTCTCTTACTTTCCAGCTCCTCATTCTGACCCTTCAGGCAGCGTTGCCCAATGTTATTAGGTTTTGCTGCTGTGCAGCTATGATTTATTTAGGCTACTGCTTCTGTGGGTGGATCGTGCTGGGGCCTTACCACGAGAAGGTACTGATGAACTACTTTTTCCCTGTTATCCCTAACTTTAGAATAGAGCTATTGGTTTCTTTTTTTTAAATTAAGTTTTATTTTGTGACTCACCCTTAAAATCTCAAATGTCTATCTATTGCCATATTTATAAACTAGCAAAGTGTGATCAACTCAAAAGAATTGTTTGAAGCTGGATTGCTTCAAATCTTGTTTGGAAAATGTCAGATAATTAAGTTCTTTCTACCACCAGGGAAGTCAATTTTAATTAATTTGATTCATTATTAATGTACCAGAATAGGCGATGGGTAAGCCTTCTCAAAATGTGACTTTATTTTTAAAAAGTAGTATAAGGAGAAATGTGTAGAATATTTGAAAATTTTGCTACCAGAGCAATGGTCTTGAACATTATGCATTGGCGTACATGGAATGAACTTTAAGAGGAGACATTTGAGCATGTGTGTTTGGGACCTGGGTATCTCTGCAGAAGCATCTCAAGGTAAAGGGGAACGGGAGTAGGGGGACCTAGAAAGTCACTGAGAACTGCCCCTTCTGCCTGCATCCAGGCTGTTTCAACTAAGAAGAGCAGCAAGAAAAAGCTGCTCATCCCAGGAGAAAAGAGAGTAGGTTTGTGCACAGTATATACATCACAAAGCAAAATGTTTGTCCTGCTTCAAATTATTTGTTTGAAAAGGATAACTTGGGATATGCGGCCTCATTATTTTTAAGATGTCACGAACAAAGGTCTCTAGGGGGGAAAGAGTGTGGAAGAAAATGAACTTTTGTATTTTCTTTTTCCAGTTCCGTTCTCTGAACAGGGTCTCTGAGTGCCTTTTTTCTTTGATAAATGGAGATGATATGTTTGCCACATTTGCAAAAATGCAGCAAAAAAGTTACTTGGTCTGGCTGTTCAGCAGAATTTATCTCTACTCGTTCATCAGCCTCTTTATATATATGATTTTAAGCCTTTTCATTGCACTGATCACTGATACATATGAAACGATTAAGGTAGGTTTATCATAAGTAGCAGCATTCTTCTAGAGTTTGTATTGTAACAGTGAAATTTAGTAACTAAAGGGAGGGAATTGATGGAATGTTGATTTGTCCAGGATAGAGAAGGACCTCAATTTTAGAGACTGGGAAACAGAAATGAAGGAGAAATGCAATTTCTAGAATGATGAGTCTTGTAAGTAATGGTGCTTTTTCAAGTAAGCTTTCTAACGTTTTATTACAAGTATAAAAGTTGAAGGGAAAGGAAAAAATATGAGAAAAGGAAAAAATGGAAACAAAGTCTTTGTAAATAGGAAGGGATATAGGGGTTGAAGGGAGGGCAGGGGAATGGGGAAAAAAATAAGAACCAAGAGAGATTATGTAAAGGTGCAAATTTCCAGTGATGAATGTCATCATATGGTATACCTAAAATGTACCAATAAACTTAATTAATAAAAAATAAGTATAAAAGTAAGCTTTGGGTGAATAAAATAGATGACATTGTGGAAAGCCAAAATTTTGAGGAGATCTTTAAGAATACAGTTTTTATAAAGAAAAAATGCCCCTTTCATTTGGAATGTGCCATAACTGAACACATTACTTCCTACAAGGCTCAACCTTAGGGTTCAGCCTCCAGAACAGCAGAAGGGTTGACATGTCAAGTACTGGCCGTGTTTGCTTTGGAGTCAGAAATATAATTTTAAAAGCTATCCATTTGTTCCCCTTGAAATATAAGAAGGCAGAATAAATATCCCTATATTTAAATTTCTACTAACTTTATACTGTTAAATGTGCTATTGGCATAGACTTTTCCTTGTGGGGACTTTTCCCTCTGGGAATGAGAGGAATAACGAAACATTTTGTCATGTGATTGGCCCTGGGGATGACCAGAAGGCCATGGGTTGGAGTTGATAATGATGGATCCCTTGCTTATGAAGCCTGGGCCAAAACTTCACTCTTACTGAACCATATTTTAGGAACTGACCATCCTCCTTACTTTCTTCAGTGCTTGTTTGGCAGATATATACATTGGTCTCCAAGGTGATTGGGAAAGGATGTAGATATAACTGTCCCAAACCCTCTCCTTGGGAGGGATCCATGACCTTCACCTCTGCATGCAGAGGCCCAGGTGCCATTCAAGGGTGACATCCAAATCTCTAAGGATAACTCTTAATGACAAAATACTGAGCCTCCTGTTACAGTTATTAATCTCTTTCTGTGGGCTCAGAGCCCTCGCCAAATGGGCACGCTAAGTGAGTGCTTTTCTTTTCTGGTCAGGGCATGTCCTAGGGATCTCAGATCCTAAGCTGATATGCATATGAGGCCCTTAACCATACCTGTCTGCCTGGATGAGTGACTGAAAAAGGGTATGCAGGTTGGAAATGTGCTTCTGGCATTTAGATCTCTGTTCAGAACCTGGGCCATCTCCAAAATGTCCACAGCTATGCTGTAGTCATTCGGAAAACTAAGAATGTTCACTCTCAGGCCCCCAAACATCTCATTAATCTCAATCAATTGGGTTCCATCCAACGAGCTTGATTTACACCGCCTGGAAGTCACAGTGCTACAGGGCAGAGTGGTGACAGAGGCTCTCGGACTCAGGATATGGTTGGCTCGATTCTCCCCTAACAGACCAGACTCCATGTGGCACCCCTTGGGCTGAGTAGACCTGGAAAAGAGGTGAAGGGGGGATCTGAACAGTCCCAGACCCGCTTCACCTCAGCCAAATCTAAGACCGACTCCAGAGGCTACTATTTCCTGAAAATACTTGGGAACCCTAAACTGTCCCTCTAGAAAAAAAATCCCCTCCCTTGCCAAATGATCCATTTCGAATTTGGAATAAAGCTGTTTTCAAGGAGCTTATTAATGAGTCTTTTCATTCTTCTTTATAGCACTATCAACAAAATGGCTTTCCAGAGACCGAACTTCGTACATTTATATCAGAGTGCAAAGATCTACCCAATTCTGGAAAATACAGACTAGAAGATGACCCTCCAGCATCTTTATTCTGCTGTTGTAAAAAGTAGTTAATCAGGTTGACCTGTGCTCTGGAGGAATATGTGATGTGTACTGAGTTGGGGAAACTGTATAGAGATTTTATAGTATGTTCCAATACTATTGTTTTTAGCTAATTAGAGCTATCTATAACTCACAAAGAACTGTGTTTATATTTTAAAATAATATTTAGTATATTTCTGCTTTATATTGGGTTTAAAATAGTAACTAATTTTATTGAGGGAAAATATTGGATTATTGTCCTTTCATATTTGTCATTTTTTAGAATGTGTTCTCTAAGCCCCTCTTTACTCTGGCTGTGTGGATTGTGTCCTCAGTGAAAACAATCGCTGGTGTGAGTGTAATTTTGGACAATTTGGTTCTGTTCCTGAAAGAGTGTGGATAGTTACTGTATGTCCATTCTCACTGCATTTAATAATCTCTTAAAAGATAGAGTAAGAAACAACCATCTCCAACTAACAGTGTACTATTTAGTTCTGAAGGACAACTGCTCCTGGATCCTGCTTTTAGTTCTGGAGAGGATCAAGCATTTTGATATTCACTTCTAAATTTCTCTGCTCCTTCAGTGTTAAAGTACAGAGGTGAAAAGGTATCTCTACATAAATGAAAAAGCAGTGATACCAAATGTATATCCAATTAAGCAGTGATTGTTTTATTAGTGTTTCAGCAACTGTGTGTTATACTGTGCCTTTCATAAGTGCATTCAGTCTCACAGCAAAGCAGTTTGTGGTCAGGAACTGTGGTTTCATGGAACAAGGCTGTATAATGCATGCAAAAATTATTTTGGACAATTATATTCAAAATTAAAGATAAATGAGAAATGTGTGCCTCTTGTAGTTCACTGATTGGAAATTGCAGTGATTTTACTTTGTGAATATTTATTTTGTGTACTGTTTATTCAGATGAAGTTTAATTTAATGATGTCAATAAAAATTTTTCTCAAAGCAAATTCTTTCAAAAGGAAATTGATTTTTAGATTTCTGGTTTTGTCTTAAGAGCTTAATGAAACACTTTGTCTTAAGAGCTTAATGAGACACTGAAATCTTATCACTTAGCCATAGTAACAGCCATAATAATGACTCCAAGTTTTGAAATTCAGGTGTGAGTTTTATAAGAGATATAAGCTATTTTTATAGTACCTGTAGCCTTTAAAAACTAAAAAATCAAAACTTCTAAGTACTTGGGGGAATTAGCTTTTAAGATTTTTAGGACATATTTTTAGAATGAACTAGGGTGCAGTGTAAACTTTTTTTTTTTGATATGGAGGATTGAACTCAGGACCTTGTGCTTTCGAGGCAAGCAGCAGCACCACTGAGCTAAATCCCCAGGCCCTGAGGGTGAACCTCAAAATCATGCTTATTATCTAGTGAGCCTTTTTTTTTTTTTGCTAATTTTCCAATTAACAGTAATACTTTAGGGGACACATGAGACCACTGAGCCATCACTGGGCCTGGAGTTTTGCTTTGCTTTGAACTCACTATGTTTCTTCTGTAAAATTAGAGCTAATAGTTTGGCACCTTCACATCTCCTGATTCTTTATGCTTTCCTCATGTGGCAGAAGTCTTAGATAATTCCAAGTCCTAACCTTTAGTAATGGTGCCTGTTATAGTTTAGATCTAAAATGTCCCCCCCAATGCTCATGTATGGAAAGTGAGTGGATCATGGGCTTCTGGGCTGGAAGGGTATATCTCCTTCCCTGGCTCCTCCTCTCTTTCCCTCTCTCCACTTCCTGGCTTCCATGGTTTGAGCACCTTTTCCTCCATCATGCCCCTCTGCCATGCTGTTTCAGCCTTGGAGCCAGCCAACCATGGGCTGAAACTGATTCAGATAACCTGCTCTTCCTTTAATTCAGATAAACCACTCCTCCTTTAAATTGTGGGTGTTGAGTATTGTCCAGTGATGAGAAGATGACTAAGTGCTTGTTGACAGTGCATCTTGATTGTCAACTTGATAGGCTTGAGAGATACCTAGGAAATCACTAAAACACACTCCTGTCCTGGGAGCATGACCTCGGGGACCATCTCTGGTCCCTACCCTTTTCCTCCGTTCCAGGAACAGAGGGCTCCCTTTGTTGGGGCTACGCTAAAGAACTGTCCACAGGATCAGGATTTGGACTAGCCTTCTAGGGCCAGGGATTTAGCTCAGTGGTGCTGCCGCCTGCTTCGCAAGTGCAAGGTCCTGAGTTCGAGCCCCAGTACCACAAAAATAAAAACAAAACATACTAGCCTTCTACTAGCCAGGAGAGGAACCTCAAGTAAGTGATTTTAACCATCAACTCTGATATTTTAGGATTTGTTAAAATCCTAATAATCTGTTTTTCTGTTTAAATAATTTTGTTAAAATAATTTCTGTTTTCTGTTAAAATCATTTAAAAATAGACTTGGAATTTTCTGTTTTCTGTTAAAATAATTTTCTGTTAAATCATTTTTAAATAGTCTTGGATTTTATGGATGCCATCTTTTCTTTAAACAATTCAAATACCACATTCTTCTTTTATTTTAATAAAGCTTTATAATCTCTAACATGTAATTGAGTTTTAATCTTCTTGTCCCAGCACACCATTTTCAAATTAAATTAATAATGCAAATGTACAAGTGTATGGATTAGATGAGAAAAAAGACAAAACTCATTACTTGCAGATGTCATGATCTATACAGCAAGCCTAATTGAATCTATAAATTCTCAAAACTTATTAAAAGATTCAATGAGGTCATTGGATGTAATAGTCATTACTTTTAATAATCATCTAGAAAATATAACAGAAATGAAATAACATTCACAGTAGAAAAAAATTAGAAATTATCCAGCAATTATCCTATGGTAGAAAGCACAAGACCTTCCCAGAGAAAATGTCAAAAACTCTGTCACAAGACATAATAGAAGATCTGAATAACTGCAGAGATGATGTATTTATGGATAAGGACAACTTAATACAATAAAGATGCTGTTCTCTTCAGTGCAGTCCATAAATCGAATCAGCAGCACACATCCAGCTCTGTTGTTTGAAACTCCAAAAAAAGAAAAATACCTCTAAAATTCATAAGCAGTAAAAGGTTCATTAATAGCTAAGTTAAGTTTGAAAAAAGGAAGGAAAAAGAGATTTACTCTACCCTATATTAGGCCATGCTACAAGTTCATAGTAAAACAAAAAATTAAATGGAATTAATATGGTAATAATACGGTATTAATGAATGAAAAACAGACAAAGAGCAATGAATAGAAAATATAGCTCTGAAACACACATGTGTTGGGGCTTTATTTTTGTTGTAAGACAAAGCTATCACCATTCAAAGAAAAGGTGGTGAGGGTGAGGAAGGGAAAGAACAGAGTTCCAGACTTATAAACTCAGAGCTGGTAAACCAAGGCTCGTGGGTCAAATCTAGCTTAGAACTTATTTTTTGTATGGGTCTTGAGGTAAAACTGGCTTTTATATTTTTAAATGGTTAAAAAATTAAAATCAAAGTAACACACAGGTCAAAAAGAATCCTAGCTGGCATGGAGGCTCATGTTTGTAATGCCAGCTACTTGGGAGGCTGAGGCAGGAGGAGCAGAAGTTCAAGGCCAGCCTGGACAATTTAAGAGACTTAATCTCAAAAATAAAAAAGTTGGGAATATAGCACAATATAGAGTGCTTCTAGGTTCAATACCCATTACAACAAGGAAAATCTCAAGAGAAATTAAAATTTATTTGTGCTAAATGAAAATGAAAATACAACTTGTCAATTTTGCGAGCAGTAGAGTAGAGGGAAATTTATGGCATTGAATGCATATGTTAGAAAAGAAATTTATAAAATTAATGATTCAAACTTTTACCTTAAAAAATTAGAAAAAAACAAGAACAAATTAAATCCAAAGTAAGCAAAAGAAAAATTCTCCAGAAAAGCAATGAAATTGAAAGTAGAAAAACAATACAGAAGATCAACACACAGAAAAGTGGCTCTTTGAAGAGATCAATAAAATCAATCAGCCAATAGCCAAACTAAGAAAATGAGAAAAAACACAAGTCACTAATATTCAGAAATGAAAGATGCGGGGCGGGGATTTAGATCAGTGGTCCCGCCCCCTGCCTCGCAAGCACAAGGTCCTGAGTTCACTCCCAGTACCAAAAAAAAAAAAAAAAATGAAGAAAAGAAATGAAAGATGCAACATCACTCCAGGTCCCATGAGCATTAAATTTCAAGACCGTGATGGAATGGATCAGTTCCTTCAAGGGGACTAGTGTGAGTGTGTTCCCCAAAAGTTCACATGTTGGAAACTTAATTCTTCATTGTAACAGCGTTAGGAAGTAGGGCATAGGGAAAGGTGTTCAGGCCCTGGTCAAGGTGTCCTCACAAATAGATTTTTTTCACAAAGGAATGGCTTAGCTATCACGAGGAATTTGGACCTCTTTTCTCTCTCTCTCTCTCTTTTTTTTTTTTTTTGCTTCTGGTTCTGCTTTATACCATGAGTTGAGGCAGCACAGGGTCCTCACTAGAAGCTGAGAAGATATAAGTGCCATGCCATTCAACTTTCCAGTCTCCAGAACATGAGCCAAAATAAACCTTCTTTGCTCCACAAATTACCAAGTCTCAAGTATTCTGTTATTGCAAGAGAAAATGAACTAAGACAATTGCTACAACAACATCTGAAAATGAAAACATGGCTTTGCAACTGGGTGATGGTAGAGGCTGCACCGTTTTGAAGTAAATGATGAAACAAGCATGTCTTTCCCTAACAGACTATTAAAGGCAATTCTGGGCAGGGCTAAGAAAAAGACAAGAAGACCAGGAAAGTATGGAACTTAGATATTTCTTAAGTGGTTGTGACCAGAGTGTGGATAGAGATGTGGACAGTAAAGGCCATGCCGGTGAGTCTCAGATGGAAATGAGGAATGCATGACTGGAAACTAGAGCCGAGATCATCCATGTTATATAGTTCCAAGGAAGGTGGCTGCATTGTATCCACATCCTATGGCTTTGTGAACAGCAGAACTTAAGAGTGATGATTAGTTTATCTGGTGGAAGAAATATGTAAGGAGCAAAACACTTAAGCCACAAGATTACTTTGAACTACTTACAGAGATACAGTAGCAAAGGGATGACTAAAGGTTGAATTTGTAATTAAGAGGGAACCACATCATTAAAATTTAAAAAGTTAGCAGCCTGGCCATGTAAGGAGTAAAAAGGCATGTCCAACAGAGAATGCTAAGCGTGTGGCCACATTACTGTTTGTTACGGAGATCAAAACAGACACAAGGGAATCAGATATCATTCATCTGAACAACGAGGAGAAGGCCCCAAATATATTTCAGAAATCTTTGAGGCTGCCTTTCTGATCACAGGCCCACAGGCTTAGGAGAGCAGAGTGGTTTGGGGAGGTTGACCTGCGGTGCCTTATGGGCTTGCTGCTCAGGACTCTGATCCCTGCAACATAGTCACATTCAGCTGTAGCTCAAGCAGCCCAGGAATGGCCAAGGTTACAGATCTGGAACAGTAAACCTTGGCAGTACCATGCTGTCCCTCAAGTGAACCCAGCTGTGCTGCTCTACAGGATAAAACCGATAGAGCATAATGGTATCCACAGCCACCCAGTACTAATTCTGCAGGTGTGCAGAATGCAAGAGTGCTAAAGACATGGAGGCCTCCACCTTGAATTCAAAGGATGTACGGAAGTCCTTGAGAACCATGTGAAATCTGCCATAGGGAAGGCACGAGCACAGAGTACCTGCCAGGTCATTGTCCAGTGGAGACACAGGAGTGGAACTGCTGCTGGGCTTTCAAAACAGATTAAGCCACTGGCAGTATGCAATCCAGGCACCAGTGTGCAACTCCACTGGGAGAGTTGGCATGTGTGCTGAACCCTGCCCCAGTGTGTCCAGGAGGCTGCACATACAGTGAAAGATTTTTCTGGAGGATTAAGATTTAATATCTACCCTGTTCAATTTTTAATTTTTCTTGGAGCCTGTTATCCCTTCCTTATGGCCTATTTCAGCCTTTTGGAATGGTAATGTCTATCTTATTCATGTCCTGCCACCATATCTTGGAAGTTGATAGCTTGTTTTGATTTTACAGGTTTACAATTAGAAGGAGTTTGCCTTAAATCTTAAATAAGACTTTGGATTTTTAAGTTGTTGCTGGAACTGCTTAAGGCTCTGGGACTATTGGGATGAAATCAATGCATTTTTCATTGTGAGAAGGGTACAAGTCTGGGTGGCGAGGGGCTGAATGCTATGGTTAGAGAGTATTCCCTTGAAGTCCATGTGTTGGAAGGTGGGTGTACTGGGGGTGCTTGGCTCATGGGGACAGAGCCCTCGTGAATGGGTTAATGTCTTTCTCATGGAAATGGGTCAGTTCTCTCAGGAGTTTGCCCCCCTCGTCTTTTCTTTATGTTCCTGCCTGTCCTTCTGCTTTCTGCCATGGGTTGAAGCAGTACAAGGTCCTCACCAGAAGCCAAGCAAACACCATTAAGCTCTTGGGTTCTCCTACTTCCAGGGAAATGAGGCTGATGAACATCTTTATTTGGTAAATTAGCCAATGTCTGGTATTTCTGTTACTGCAACAGAAAATGAGCTAGGACGCTATTGTCAAAACTCAGGCAAGGAAAAAAAAAACCTCAGGCAAGAAGAAATCGACAATCTGAACAGATCAATATACAGTTTATTACATAAACTGAATGAAAAGTAACTTTTCAAAATAGAAAGTACCAGGCCTAGATGGAATCACTGATGATTTCTACCAAATACTAAGGAGAGAATCATACCAATTCTTTATGATTTCTTCTAGAAGATAGAATCAGAAGGCATATTTCCTCATTCTATGCACCCAGAATTAACCCTAATTCCAAAACCAGGTAAGGCTATTACAAGAAAACAATGGACTGCTATCTTTCATGTACATGGATGAAAAAAAAAATCCTAAACGATAACATAAGCAGATTAAATCCAACAGTGTATAAGAACAATCACACATTGTGCATAAGAGAAATTTATTCCAGGTATGTAAGGGTGACTCAACCTTCAAAGATAAGTTAATGGAACCCATCATATCAAAAAAGAAAAGAAAATCATATGATTATATCCATAAATGCAGAAAAAAGTGTTTGACAAAACCTGACATTCATTTGTGATAAAAACCTCAACAAACTAGGAGTACAGGAGAATGTCCTTAACTTAATAAAGAATATCTACAAAAAACCTGCAATTAATACTGTGATAGCCAACCTGACTCCATCTTGTGCTTCAATGCCATTTTGTACCTGTGCTTGAACAAAG